CATATGTATATATTATTATATATATATATATATATATAGTGTCGTGCACACCTTTGTGCACCATATTCGTCGCCTTGCACATTGTGTTGCAAAATGACCTGTATCTCTCGATCGCTAGAGCACCAATGCTTCCGAAACAAAATCACTCAATGCACCACACCCCATACAGAGATATGGAATTAGGATATAATGTTCGTACGTAGGCTTATATATAGATATCACTGTTTTCGTTCCCTTAGTTCGACGAACGTGCAAGCTGGATCTCAAAAGAGCGACAGGGTACCGCACGGGGTGGACTCTATTATTTCGCACACAGGCGAAAGTGTCTCGGGCGCTTCCAACTTCATTAGATCGCACATCGACAGCGCTGTTCGCCTACTGACAAGGTGAGTGTGGTGTTGAGAAGATGAGGGCAACACCAAGCTAGCATCTCTATACAGTGAATGGTTTAAGTGCGTTGCACTTGTGTGAAACTGCGAAGGGTTTAAAGGAGAAGCCTTTTCGTACTGCAAGTCGATTAGGGCTGTGATCTATGTTTTTAACGTGTGACTGTATACTATGGAGAAAGGTTTTTGCGGAGCAGGTCAGCAGATTGTGTGGTGTGCTTTCTACCATCCATGTGACTGGGACACATACGCTGTATATCAAAAGTTTAACATTTTTCTACGAGATACTATAAAAAAAATATCCATGTGCGAACATTGCTGACGGTTTACCACATAACATTGTAGATTGACTATCGGGGAGATGAAAAACAGCTCAAACTCAGAAACGGAACAGCTCGCAATCCCGCAACATCTGTCAGAGAGTATGCGTGATGGTAGCAATGATGAGCTGGGGGCATTGCCATCGCACAACTTTAGCTCTACAACTACTGGGAGTGGTATTCATGACAGAGTCAAGAAGAATTCTGCGAGGATACCATCTGGCTTAATTGGTTCTGATCGAGTTAAAAATGTAGGTACCAGGATTTGCAGCTTCGTATCGCAGTAGTGTGTGGACTGGAGGTTGCCAAGGGCATCTCACATGCGTGTTAGTCATTTTATGCTCTAACAAAAAAGAATTTATGTGTTGTAAGTAGCTTCGAGGCGAAACATGGTTCAGAATCATGGTCTGAAGCTTCTTAATTGAAATCACTCGAACACACCTCGTTGTCCTAGCTTCCTATCAGGCTCTTTATCGTTTGTGTATCCCAGTTTTCCTGCCTCGGGTACATTATTCGTGCAAAATCTTCCAACGAGAACAACTAGTGTATGAAAACCGCAGGTAACACCTACCACGCTTTCCGTACCATATAGCAGGTCTTAGAGCTGGATGTCGATGAGGAGGTCTACTCGCTCTTGTGTAAGCAAGACGTGTGTAAGCAAGACGTGACTCACACGCATGCACGCTCCTCGCCATCACTGCATCGGAGAAGGCATTCGGTCTACGACATTCCCGTGTCCTTACTAGACACGCACGCACTGGTTCCGAACTTTTCACACCTGCAACCTTCAGATATGCCGTCACACACCCAGCATCAATCCACACCGAATATATACCCGCTCAACTGTGATTCGGGTGGCAGAGAAACAGCCGACTCACCGTCTACCCATACCACTACCAGAGACATGACTCGTGATAGGAAAAGTTCTGGGCACACACCGAAGACGGTTGAGAACACCCCGTTAAGAAGGGTGGAGAAGAGGAACAATACTGCACACAGCACGGCAGAGGCCAGTCGAACATTTGTGCGGATTAAGCGAACAGACACTGGACATGTGGTAAGTGGAATTTGAGAAGTATTCGTCGACCTGCATAGAAAAGCAATATGCAGTCTTAAATGATAAATTCAGAGCTGTTGCATGCGGTTGGCTCTTACTTGACAGTAGCGAAAGCTCAAATGTGAGTCGGCAATTGCAGTTTTCATCGCTCCCTTTCAGCAGTTTGTGATCGTACATTCCATTAGTAGCTTCATTTTTGTCACCATACCGCACGTGGAGTTGCTTCTAACTTTCCGCAGATTTTTATTTTATTTTATGCTCCTGCCTATATGCTTGTTCAATAGCCATTTTCGGTTCCCATCACGTGCGTTTTGTGACCAGGCATTCACCCGTAAACCCATACTATATCCCTGGCATATAACAAACTTCTATTCACCTTCAAACCCATACTATATCCCTGGCATATAACAAACTTCTATTCACCTGCAAACCCATACTAAATCCCTGGTATGTAACAAACTTCTATTCACCTGCAAACCCATACTATATCCCTGACATATAACAAACTTTCATTCACCTGCAAACCCATACTATATCCCTGGCGTATAACAAACTTCTATTCACCTGCAAACCCATACTATATCCCTGGTATGTAACAAACTTCTATTCACCTGCAACCCCATACTAATCCCTGGCATATAACAAATTTCTTAACGGCAGTTTTGTCTCATATGTCGTAAATATAGATACAACGTTCGAGTTCCCTCAAGTGCGTAAATTCACCTCAATACTATTACTACGCACGGATCAAAGTACCTGTTGTAAACCATACCTCTCCTCTTGCATGATCCACTGCTGTTGGACGTTCTCACGAACGTCCACATGGTGGGCAAGCGCCTGTACGTTGCTCTACCTACTCGTGTGGCTGCTTCGTGTCGGTAATGTGCGTGGACAGATGAGGACGCAATGTGCACACCCTGCGTGTACATCTCACGGGTGGAGCATTGCGAACATGCTGAATCTGGGCTGTCATCATGGACAATACTGCGAGAGTCATGAGAATGAAGTATGCAGTACTTTTGCAATGGTTATACACACTTGCTTCCGTTGTGTACAAGCTGCGACACGTTCTGTTTCTTGTGTGCTCTCCTCGAGTTATGTTCTCAATACTGCAATTCCATCTTCATTGTGTAGGCGACCCTTCGGTTCCTGCTTCAATTCTCTACTTGCATTCCATTCACTTTGTAGGATAGAGAAACAGGTCAATTTGAGTCTATTTGTCATTCTTTCCTGTACAATACTACATTCGGATGTGGACGTCAGTTTCTTTCCCTGTATATATTCTCATGTATATGCAATCATACAAGCATGTGTTTCTTACTGTTTTTAAGGTGTAGAGCACAGTACGAATGGATCTATACATATGCAGCCCCTGCCCTCTGTGCGCTTTCTGTATCTTCTAAGGAATTCTTCTTGAGGCTCTGCTTGGTTAACGATCTCTGTATGGGTACACATTTGTAATGCATACCTACGTACACACACTCGTGAAGTATAATGCCTGTGCGTATTATCACTTACACTACAACACAGATACAACTCGCCCGATCATGCCCGGTCACTGCCGATGGCTTCAAAGCAGCCACCTCGAGGGGTCTCAAACATTTGCATCTCGCATACGACCTTGGGTATCGCTCATGCACAGTGTTGGGGATCCCTCTGCTGCAACGTGTGGATTACAACGTGTATGCGGTGTTTAATGGCGTGAGTGAGGTGTCGCCGTTTGGGTTTGTGCATATGACGGTGAAGAAACGAGAGCACGTGGTGCAGAGGAGTGCCGACGACGATTGGGAAACACAAATGCACCAGCCAAAGTTCGTGCATGCAAAGTCGTCTCAAGAAGGTAGCGGCAGAGGGTCTCTACGAAGCTCCGGGTCAATGTCAGATCTATATAGAAATGTAGACGAACGAGCAGACAGCCGCCAAGGGATATCACGACCAGAGAAAAGTATAAGCAGTCTCAATCTGAGAGGGCTGGCGCGTATGCATGTGACAGACGACGATGGGGTTAGAGATAAAGTATTCGATTGGGAATCAAATAAGCCGGGGCGAGAGATCGGAGCTGGTTACCCCCGTTGGGCCAGCACGGAAGGGCTGAGTATGGGTGCTGACTTGGCCCAAGCAAGGTCTAATTCACAACTCCCACAACGGCCACTACCAAATACAGTGTTCGGGTTCAGAAGTCCTTCGCCGGGCCTAGACACCCGCGACGGGAGGGATGGATCTCTTAGTGTCCAGGGGCCTCTGGCGCAGGCCGAGTTTGAGATTACCTGTGACTGCACCAAGCCTGTCAAGAGCAGGCCACGACACATGCCACTAGCGTCGAGAGCTGATACAAACAGAACGGCAGGGTGGGGAAATGATGCCCACGAGCGTGCAGATGGGCATACACAGTCGAGCACGCGAGTGCAACCAGACACTCCTGCAAATAAGTATGCTGCTACGAATGACTTACTACGCACAGCAGCACATCCATACGCCTCTGTACGTGAAGGTGAGAACGGGGGGGAACACAGGTACAATGCATCCCCCTCAACGACAGATCCAGACGCCCAGGGACGGGAGTGTACGCTAGGCGAGGCATCCGATAGGTACTGTGTGCATGGCACATGTTTTCTGTGGCATTTGCACAGTCTAGAGGTTGAGGACAAGCACGTACCGTTAGAGCAGAAGGCACTCCCACCGTACGAGGATATGGAGATGGCGCTGCTGTTGCTAGGTAACGGTGCGAGTGGGGGTGGAATATAAGTGTCAATGTATGACGAAATAAGACATTTTGTGTGGCAGAATCAACCGCAGGTGTGTGGCTGAAGAATTCAATGGTGACAGGCCAATGGCTCTGTGAAGTCTATACGCGCATAAACGCTCTTCCTGTTCCCATAGAAGGTTATTATATCATTATAGCACGGTTTCAGACCAGTGGGAGGCTATGGTTTGCAAATTATAAGTGCACGCATAGTGTGATGATGGTACAGAATCGCGAGATAAAACTAATACATATATAAAGACATACATAGATACGCATACCTAATACCTGATTATTCCAGCATGCGACTTGTAGTACCGACACATTCTTACAACGTGCCAACGTACTATATGACATCCATACGCACTATTCTTCTCTATGTGCACGATCAACGAGCCCATTCAGTTGAGGTGTGTTGGGGGGTAAACGTCTGAGAAGGATTGTCAGTGAATACGTCCAGCGGTACATGTAATCACGGAGGTATATGGGTGTGGTACCGATATCTAGAGATCCGAAGTACTAGCAACAATCGAAGGACGTTAGAGAAAATAAAATACAACAACAGCGATCGAGGTATGCCGTCTCGCTGGGTGCTAACAGAGCATTTGGAATCGTGACAAACACTTCTGTTCCTAGCAGTGAATGTGCACACGTTAGCAGTTGCAGATCACGAAACATGTGGGGGGGAAGACTGTTTATCAGCGGGTATGCGTCTGTAGCCATCAATTTGTCTCGTGTGATTTAATACCTCTCGTGTGATTTAATACTCGTATAGTCTGGTGAATTAGAACCCTACTACTTGTATGTCGTCAGAATCTTCGCATGTCTCACCTCAAACCTATCCACAGTAAGGCGTATCGAAGGTACTGAGCGTAGCTACTGACGCTGACTGTATAACACACAATATGTGCTGTCCTTGCCATATCGGTCTGGACTCTCTCTCTGCAAAGGCACAGGATATCATGTCCCGACACGTGTTTGTTCGCTTGTGTATGCGTGGCTTGGCTCAGTTTCCTAACTATGTAGAAGTAAAACACATCGTAACCCAACACGTACTAGTAAGCTTATGAACGCATTGCATATACCAGCTTCCATCAGTACACACCCCTGGACATAGCCACGAAAAGCCTGGACTCTCACACGTCCACCACGACTTTCTCATCGCCAATATATGTTACTTTAATCGTCTCTACATCCCCCAGCCGTAGCACAACCTCGAACCGATACTCGTACGTGACCCAACACGTACTTGTCCACCGATGTGCGCATTTCATATCCTAGCTTCCATCACATGTCTCTGCACTTAGCCACGACAAGCCTAGACTCGCGCACGCCCACCACGGCCTTGCCATCGTCAATCTGTACCACTTTAACCGTCTCCACATCCCCCCCGTTTAACACGTCTTCAAACACATTCACATATGTGACTTCTCCAAAGTCAATGGTGGTCCAGTAGCTCAACTTGGGCTTAATGCACTCCAGCAGCCAATTACGTGAGAGCTCGAATGTCTGCGTGAAGTACATACGTCCCATCGTGCGAGATGATAGTAATGAGGCGGCTTTGCGTAAGGCAGCTTCTTTATCCGGAAAGATCATGAACGATCCAGAGAAGTAGATATTATCGAATGTAACACTATCGACACTGTTCCCTAGAGTATTCGTGTTCGTCTGTGGTTCAACCCCATCGTCAGCGACTTTCGTGCACGATGCTTCAGGGTAGTCGTAAAAGCTACAGCACACCGCCTCTATGTGGTTTTTTAAGTCGTGCATATCTATCAGCTGCTGGCACCTCTCTATGTAAGCAGCATCGTAATCCACGCCCACAATGTGTAATCTCTTCCGTTTTATAATGTCGGCGTTAGCAACCAGTGCAGCACCCGTCCCCACGCCCACATCAAGGAGATGTGAATCGTCGTCTACACACTCAAGTACACTTTTGTACCAGATTGTTGTGAAAGATGTGATAATTCGGTCGTATATGCCGCTTCTGAGGCTTCCGAAAGTATTGCATGTCGTGTTATAGCACCAGCTGTACGCGTCGTGCACGCGTGTGTTGGGGAAGAAGTGCATCGCGGCTCCCAAATTGGATGACATGCTCGTACTTTATATTCTCCAACTGTATAGTTAGTAAAGCAAGCGGGCCTGATTTATTCGCGATATTGACCTCTCATACAATGAATGCACAGGAACATACGCAAGTATATATACATATATATATATATATTATATATAGTATATATATATATAATCGATGTAGCCAAGAGACCTCAGACAGATGTAGCTATGAAAATAAAAATAAATTAAATAAACAAATAAACGTGTTGGAATGTAAACATGATCGGAGATCGTGTCAGCCGGCTATCCTCAAAACGTTACAAACTTATCGTTGGACTCCAACGCTTATTATTCCTTCAGAAAAGACTGGGACAAAACCAACCTAAATAAATATGCGATTAGACAGACATCCCAGGGAATGTCTCGAAAACTTTGAACCTCAGGGCTCCGAACATACACCTGTAGCAACAATCGTAGGGCCATCACGATATAAACGTTAAACGTAAGTATTTTTTTTCTTTTTCTTTTTTTTCTTTTATAAAAACAATTACACATTTAATATGTACATATTGACAAACACAACCGTAACTAGGTTGGGTTGCGACGAAAATAGCGCGAATTTTTCAGCCACTTCGGTGTACTTTATAATCATCAACTCATTAATCTCTGACGCCACATTCGTAGTACTGAGGCAAGCACTACATACACTTACACAGGCTTATAAAGTAGAACGCAAATATGACACTTATACAGTCATTGGTGGGTGCATTGTGCGTATGTGCACACATGCACCTGAGCGGTGCTGTGCAATTGGCCGCCAGTGATGGTTTTCAGGCTGTGACTTGTGGAAGTTCGATTAAGCTTATGAATGTGCAATCCAAAATGTACATGCACTCGCACGAAGTAAGCTACGGAACAGGTAGTAAACAACAGAGTGTAACCTCGGTGCCACATAAAGATGATGTGAATAGCATGTGGGTAGTCAGGGGTACACAGACGAAGCCGTGTAGCGTTGGGAAGCCTGTCATGTGTGGAGATACAATTAGATTAACACACGGACAGACGAATAAGAACTTTCATAGTCACTTGCACGTATCACCTCTGTCGCGGCAGCAGGAGATTAGTGCGTATGGGAATGATGGAGAGGGTGATCTAGGTATGTATGTGGATGGATGTGCATGAAAAGTTGGGATGTGCTGTTGTTGACTACGAAAGACCTGGTTGCATGAATTGTTTTCAAAAAGATCGTATAGAACTCAATTTAATTTCCCTTGACAGAAAGCGTATGATCACATGGGATACAACTGCTTCTGGATTGTATGCGTATTTACACTTTCATGTGTGTGTGTATGCTAGCGCATACATGTTCATATGTTTGCATATCTATATATGTGCGTGTGTATGATATATATATATATATATATATGTGTGTGTGTGTGTATGTATATGTATATGCATTATATATATAAATATGTGTGTGTGTCTGTATCTGTATCTATATTTATACATATATATATAATTAGTATATATATTGTGTGTGTATGTATTTGTATATTTCTATACATACATCTATAAATATAATATATAAATATATATATATATAATAGCTATATTACATATTTTTGTCTTCATTTCCATAGGTATAAGTTCATTTCTAAAATTTAAAACCACTGCAATCGTGTGCACGTGAATTCATGCTCCATTACTATATATCTATACCTATACCTATTTCTATACTTGTATATATATGTGTGTGCGTGTGTGTGTATATATATATATGTATCTATGTATATAAATATAGAAGTTTATATATATATAATTTGGTGCATGAACGTATTTGCTTATCGTTTCATGAAGATATATATGTGTGTATGTGCCAGGGGTATGTGTGTATTATTTTATTTTTTTAGTTTTGATTTAATTATTTTTTTGTACCTTTCATGTGCGATTCTATTTATAAAGGGCGTATGTATGTATATATGTATATTCCGTATAGGAGTTTTATGTATTTATATATATGTGTGTGTGTGTGTGTGCATGTGCATGTGCATGTGTATGTATGTATGTATATATATATATATATATATATTATCTACCATTCTCGATATACATATACGGAATACATCCGATTTTTTTATCTGTATATTACTGGAACTTTCAATAGCGTTTTTCAGTTTTGCAAATGTTTTTCAGAAAACGCAAAAATAAATGTGCACATGTTTTTGCTGTTGATTGTATTCAGTGCTTCAAAAGTCAACCGTCTATCCCGATTATCATGTGAATATGTGTGGGCATAGGCGCAATGATCTGAAGTCCACGATCGTCAATAGCGCACTGTGTGTACTAGTTTTTGAGAACCGACTCCAAATTTCTCGTTTTCGCTGGGCAAGGCAAACATGTATGCTTTCACCCGCGCTACTCATGCCAGACCGCAATTGCCTCATTTTTCTTATTATCTACGTGTATACAACTAAATACTACCCGTATACATTCGAAATCAAGTACAGCCCCCAATAGAGGCAACATGTAGGCGCAAGCCTGTAGAATATAAGGGTCCCTAAGACTACGGGATGAAGTATACGATCTCTCCGAGAGCAAGCTTTGCACTCGACAATCTTACATTCTTCCCGAGCACGTTGTTTTTTTCAGTTCACTAGCGCTGTGTCCAAACGGGATTACAATGCATGGTTGTCCGCTGGGCGGCTTGTAATCGTTGTGCTATTATTGTGCGCAGGTGACGAGTGGGTAGTGGTCTGTGACAACCAAACCAAGTGGCTCAGAGGCGAAAATGTCTTCTTAAAGCACAACCAGACGGGCAAGTGGGCCTCCACGAGTAAGGTATATAGTTTGGTTCAAGTTCTTTGGCTCCAAGTGCTCTTTTACGGGAGATATCATATGCAACCAGTATTTCATGTGTACGATATTCGTTGTGGACTAACCATTGTAATGATATTAGTCTGGAATCTTAACTCTAGCTCTAGGTGTGAAGTGATTGTGCCGTGTGCTACTTTTTATATTTGTGAAGAACATGGGAATTTGTCATACGCACACTATCATGAATTTGGGTGACTGAAATGAGCTCTATCAATAGATTGTGTTTCACTCTGTAGTATATATTTAACATACAAGCTGGCTTCACTTCTATATGTGTTTTTCGTCGACAAATATGCTCAATGCATATGTGAAATGCTTCCCATCACAGGACTTTGGTTATGGGCGTCCTATCGAGGGACAATATGAGGTCGCCGCGCGCAGCCAGAAAGACAGTCGATGCAGTTGGATTGTCAAGGTAGGTGTGCGATTCGAATCGTATATTATGCATAGCTACTACCTTTCATTGTTTTCAGATTTGGAGGAGGAATTGCTTAGTACTCCGTATTATTTTCCGGCTTGCGGTTGTTATTGAGAATAAGTTTATCTCCTGTGAAATGTGCATTATAACTCCTTCAGTAGCGACTCATGAAAACGATGGATTGGGCTCCGCACTTGAATTTCGACCAGAAGTCAGTTGAAGGAGATAATCTATCGTTGCGTAAAATGCCTGTTCACGTGCCTTGTACACAAGTAGTTATTTCCAAAGCTACCTTGTGTATATTGAATTTCCTATAGTGTTGATGAGCAGTAGCTACCACTTTCTATTATCCGATTTCAGCGTACCCGATGTACTTAGTAAATCACAGTGTCGGATCTTTTTTAACTCGTGTTTTTACACATCACTTCGTTGCTTCAACAGCTCGGTATCTTCATGCGCGACTCGGAAGAATAAACTAGACACAGCCGGGGAACTGAAGCTGGAACGTGTCGTTAGAAATACACCGCGGAATAATGTACCGTGAATTGGTGTCCCGCGAATCGTGCACCGTATTTGGAACCGTGCTGCTCTTGTACCGTCAGTCGGCAGCGCTGCCTCACTCCTTACCTGCCACTGCCTGAAGTTCTAAAAAGCGAAAAATAAATCGCACACCGCTTCACAAGTTGCCATCCTCGGAATAAATAGATTTGAGAGCCACTGAATTGAAGAAATGGGGGGTTTTTTTAATAAGTTAAACAAGTGTCGAGGTCTAGTCTTGGTATGATGAATGTTGTGTATGTGATGTTAGTTGTGAAAACTTCTCGTCGCAAAAGAATATTTATATCTTTTTTTTTAACGAAGACGTACAGGAGTACATAAGCCTTAGAACATTTTCAGAGTGCTGTGACAAGTTTACCAAACTCAAACTCGTGTGTATGTACAAACCATAAAGTAGGGTGCCCATATAAACCCTTGTCCATAGCCCTCTAAATAAATTGAACAAGGCTGTGCCTTGTCCCTTTATCTCAGGAGGCTATGATTTTCAAAACTTATCCTAACCCTACAATTCTCAAAACTCAACAAACCCTACAATTCTCCAGACCCGAGCAAACCCTACTATGTAAATACATACTAGAATTTTCGAAACCCAAGCACGTCAGATCCGTCATTTTAATTGCCTGTCCGTAAACATAGCCGTGTTTTTTTTGTTCTTTTTGGGATTGTAAACGGTTTGACATTTATGTGGCCTGGAAACCTGCACCTAATCCATGGTGAATGTAAACGTTAAACGTAAGGGTTTTTTTGTTTTTGTATTTTGCTTGCGAGATGATGTCGGGACACTGGGATCAAGAGAGACCCAAAAAGATGGTGGCCGAGCAGCGGAACAGAAATGAGCCTTCCTGACTTCTTGCGCTGTTATAAATATATTTACCTTATGTCGCGACCTCTTCAGTAAATGTCCAACTTCGGGGTAAATACTTTGTACAGTAAAGATCAACGCAACCACTTCGTTCAACTTGAACCTCGGCGGAAATACTGGTAGTATGTGTTTAGACACTAAAAGCGAGGGCGTCTGTGTGCGCGCATGTGTTATTGGGGCTGGCCCAACAGGACTTGTTGCTGCGAGGTATCTGCTTGAGAAGGGCTACGAAGTAGTGGTGTATGAGCAGGATACAGGGGTGGGTGGGACATTCCGAAATAAGGTGTGTTGTGCTTCACGTGTGTCGCATGTCAATCGTGCTGGGGTAGGGAGAAGAGCACTACTTTTTATGGCGAGGTACACGCTACTATTATGTAAACGCACAAACTGATATAGTGAGCTTTGCAAGATGGTGTAAACGGGCATTTTCGTTGAATATCCCTACTGTTCTTTTCAACTCAATTGAAGTCTATGTCGTTCAGTCCGACAAGAGTCGTAGATGGAACTGCTTTGAAAACGCACAGAAAGCGTCTAACTATGTAGCATTAAGTGAATCTATCGCCCTGTTTCTGCGTGTTTCAGGGGCGTTGAGAAGCGATTCAGCATGATCGACCCGTGGATCTATGTGTTGTTGTATTCAAATGTTTATATGAGGGGCTACGGGTATATATATATATATATATATATATATATATATATGTATATGTATATATATAGTATGTGTGTCTTCTTATATAGTCTT